CAGTTTTTATCAGCCCATAAGCTAACCCCAGCCAAAAGAGTAGAAAACAAACATCACTGGAGAGCTTCTTTGAAAAGGGGAAAAGAACCAATGATGAGAGAGCAGAAGACTCTCAGTCTGCCAACAAAAAGAAAGCTGCATTTAAAAGAAAATACCAAGAGTCCTACTTAAACTCCCAGTTCATTGCAACAGGTGATTCACATTCTCCAAGCCCACTTTCTATACTATGTGGCGACCAGCTATCCAACGAGATCATGAAGCTTCAAAACTGCATTGCCACATGGAGACTGAGCACCCTGCATTAAAAGGCAAACCTTTGGAGTTTTTCAAAATAAAAAAAAAAAAAATTGTTAAACAAAGGACAGAAGCAGTCGTTCAAGGCCACAACTTCATCAAACGCGTCTCCACTGAGAGCATCATTCCTAGGGGCTAACCGCATTGCTAAAGCTAAGAAGCCCTTTACTATTGGTGAAGAGCTGATCCTGACTGCTGCTAGGGATATTCGTCATGAACCTTTAGGGGAGGCTGCAGTTCAAAAGGTGGCATGTGTTCCTCTTTCAGCTAGTACCATAACTAGATGAACTGATGAAATAACAGAGGATACTGAGGCACAATTCTTAGAGAGGATTAATGAGGCACCATGGTACACACCAACAGGTTGACAAGTCTACCAATGTTGACCACAAAGGCAATGATGCTTGTTTCTTTGCGATATATTTTTCAGGATGACGTGCATGAGGATATGTTATGTGCGCTTTTGTTTCCAACCAACACTACAGCTGCAGAACTATTCAGGCCTTCAAATGGTTACATATCAGGAAAACTGAATTGGTCATTTTGTGTCGGTATATGCACGGACAGAGTCTGTCTGGACGGCTTTCTGGTTTCACTACTCAGGTCAAAGAGGCCAGTTCTGAATGTGGAGTCTATGCATCATCCATAGAGACATGCTGGCTAGCCAAAAAATGTCACCTGAACTTAAGAACGTTTTGCAGGATGTGATTAAATTTATCAACCATGTGCCCTTAACTCACGTCTCTTCTTGCATCTCTGTCAGGAGATGGACGCAGAGCACACACGTCTTCTCTGATACACAGAAGTGAGATAGTTTTCTGAAGGTAGCTCCCTGGCCAGAGTGTTTGAGTTATGAGAACAGCTCCAGAGACTTCTTTTAGAAAAACAGTCAGCACTGGCAGCACATTTCAGTGACATAGAACGGGTCGCAAAACTTGCTTACTTGTGTGACATATTCAACCTGCTCAACAAACTCAATCTGCCACTTTAGGAGAGAATGACAACTATGTTCACATCGGTAGATAAAGTGGCCGCATTCAAAGCCAAACTGGAGTTACGAGGGTGAGGGAGTGAACACTGGAATTTCCGACATGTTTCAAATATTAGCAGAGAGTTTGAAAGAGACTGAGCCAGGGCCTTCTTTCCCCCATCTAGTGCATGATCACCTACCTCAGCTTTCAAAAGATCTTGAGCATTACCTGCCAACCACAAAAGACCCTGGAAGTGGGAAGGAACGGATCCACAACCCATTTGTGAGTAAGCCAGGTGAATCAACTTTGTTTGTGCTAAAGAGGATCAACTGCTTGAGATCGCAAATGATGGCGGCCTTGAAAGTATGTTTGCGGCAACTTCAAATCTCCATTCTGGATTAAGGTCAGGGAGGAACATCTTGAGATTGCCACGAAAGCATTGAAAAGCCTGCATCCATTCCCAACATCCTATCCTTCTGAAGCAGAGTTTTCTGCAGTGACAGCAACCAAATCAAAATTACAGAGTAGACCAGACATAACCAACACACTTGGGTGTCACCGTCTCCCATCACCTCCAGATGGGACTATCTAGTTGCAGGGAAACAAGCCCAGGGCTCCCACTGATACTACATTATGGTGAGTTTTGTAATTATTTCATTATATTCTACAATGTAATAACCATAGAAATAAAGCCCACAATAAAAGTAATATGCTTGAATCGTCTGGAAACCATCTCCCCACCTCAGTTTGTAGAAGAACTGTCTTCCGTGAAATTGCTTCCTGTTGCCAAAAAGGTTGGGGACTGCTGCCTTAAGGTTACTATGGGTCAGAAGACCTTGCCATCTTTTGCCGAAGTTTGCCTTTCTGTTGTTTCCTAAAGCATAGGCAATAAATGTAATAACTTATGAATTGTAGTTTAACATGCTTTTGAGAATCTGGTCTTATGAAGAGAAGTAAATGTGCCCCAAATTCTTCCACAAGGAAAAAAATTCAGATCAGTAATTGCCTCTGGGAGTGAGAACGACTAGGCTTGGCTGGGAGAAGTGGGAGAGAACTGTCTGGGTCATAGTGCTGATGTTCTTATCTATTCTGATATAGGTTGGGTAACACAGGTGTATTCATGAGTCAAAACTGATTCCAGAGTGTTGATTTGCATTAAAACCTGTAAATAAAAACTGAACTCGAGTTAATGGTATGTATGTTGAAGTGTTAAGGGAAAGTGTACAGAAATGCAAGATGAATGAATGGTTGGAGCTACAGACAGAAAGAAGGGTGATAAGTGAGTATAGTCTAATGTTAATGGTAGAATTAAATTTAAATGGTGTCCATACAGGTGTTGAATAAAACCCCCTTGACTTGCTGTCTGTATGATTTAAAATTTTTAAACCAAATATTGGGAAAAAGTCATCTCACTTCATAACATCAGGTTATAAACTTCAATAAGAACTTCCTCTTAATGCAAAACCTTCTGCCCATTATAAAAAAAGTATGTATTGTCTGAGACACAGCATTAAGTTAAATTTACAGAGAAAAGGAATATGTCAGTCTCCAAGAATCTTACGGGTGAATGGAGACAAGATTTATATCCGTACATCTCCCTTTAAAAACGAACAGCAAAGTATGTGTTTGCAACCTCTTACTGGAGTCTAAATTTTCCAGCAGCCTCTTTCTCCTGGATGCTGAAATACCCTGGGGAAAAAACCCATGCAAGTTTGACTTAACCACTTAGAGAAAAGTCCACTTGGTGGAATAACTAGCCCCAGGGTTTATCAAGCAAATATCCCCACTCTGCCTGACTCATTCCAAAGTATTTGTTCAAGGCATCGTCCTGTGTAATGCAATTGGTCATATCACACGCTTCAGTACTTTTATATTTTTCTTTTTACCAAGCATCCCTTTTTTTTGTACACTGACCTACTGAGAGGCTCTTCCTGACATATCAACTACGAGACTGCACTGGTCTGTCTCCCTTCCACTCCATCCTCTCTCATCATCTGCCTTGTCCCTGAGAAGACGTGTTTGATGAGTAATTCCAATACAGATCTTGCACTGTTGGCTGACATCTCCAACTTGTTAATTAATTCATAAAATGGTTTTCTGTTAATTAAAGAGGAAAGGGCTCCATCTAGCTGTTTGGGAGACAGCAAATGCATCCCAGGATTGACAGCAGGAAGGGGCTATGTGAGTTACCCTGTTCCTCCTTTTTTAGATGACATCTGTGGAAAACAATAAACTTCACTTCCTTTCTTAAAACAGTGGGAAATGCAGACATCTGCTATCTGCAATAACTAAATCCTAACTCAAGATATTTTAGAGCAGAACTTGATAAATGTCCTGAACTTCTGCAATGCAACCCCAAATTTCAATCATATTTATTCTTTTCCTCTCCCCCTCAAGTATTTTAAGAAGAGTATCTGGCATGCTCACCAAAATCTGCAAAGAAAAACACATGCAAAGTTGGTAAATATTGTAGTTCAATTATATGAATTCCCAGCAAGTGTGTAAGAAGAAAATCAACCCAATTTGCAAAAGGACGTCACCGAGCTGAGGCTGGGCTGAGCACTCTCACTTTCCGTAGCTCGCGAGGCCTCTGTGCCACTGTCAACCAGGTAGTGTCCCTGTCAGCTGGTCCTAGAAGGCTGCGCATGGATAACCAGACTTATTTGCCAAGGGACACCTCGGCATGGAACACAAAGGGCACATCACGGGATAACCTGCCGTAGCACGATTGGCTGCAGAGTAGCTCTGATATCAAACCTATAGTCAGGTGCTGGGGCAAAGAGCTGCAATTTCTCAAAGATTCCTGCAGTGAGCTTGGAGGCCACATTACAGGAGGAAATAACAGCCAAGGAGCCCTGGCTATGATGCTTCAGAGGGTCAGGGAAAACAGGGAACATTGATCTGGAACATCCCAGTAAACGTGGAAAGTGTTGAGCATTAGATCCCACACTCCTGAGCTGTCGGAGGAGCTGGTGCTCTGCATGTGCAGAGATGACATGCACGTGCAGGCACATGTTCTGTGTGCTGTTCTGGGGGAGACGGCGGAGGTGCTGCTCAGAAAAGGCTGTGTTCAAGGAGGATTAGCAGAAGAAATGCCCAGGAATTGTAAGAATGCAGCAGACTCTCTCAGAGCTGCCCCCAGGCACTCATTTCCAAAGAGCATGGAGCCCGAGGTTCTCTCCACCCTGTGATCGAGTTTGCTTTTTACCAGAGATAAAGGTCCAGGTAACATTAGGTCGCCTACCCTATAGCTAACAAGCAGCCATTCAGGTTCATTCCAGTCACTTCTGTGTCCCCTACGAGATTCTCTCTACTGCCGCAGGCAACGGGAAGCCAGAAAAGTAAGCCTGTGTCTCTGCAGGAGCCACCTAACCTCACAGGGACTCACGGAGAAGGAAATGAAGTGACACCAACTCTGAGCGAATAGGAGTTCCGACGCAGGAGAACCAGTGTGGACAGAAGTAGGACGAGACAACAAAATTAATTTCTTTCCATTGAAAAGTCATATGGAATTTTACTTTACTGAACCTATGATCTCAAGAAAATTCCCTGCTGTTTTCCTCTGAAATGCTTGTCAGATACTCATTCAACAGCATGCGAGAGGATGATGGGGCAATCACCATCTTTGGCTTAGCTTCAGTGTCAACACTATGCATTGCTGTTGTGAGACAGCACTGCTCGAGTCGAATTATCTGACATACAAAGAAACCGGAATCTATGAACTGACTGACTCACCCAGGTTTGCTGTTCCTGACAAAATTGCAGTTGCGGTCCTGGCCTCTACACTCCTGTCCTGGTCTGAGGATCTTCTGAAGAGGGCCCAAGGCAGGGAGTCAAAGGCAAGGAAGATCCTCCTGGAGAATAAGGAACAAACTAAGACAAGGAAGTAAAGGAAGCTGAAGAAGTGTGCATAACCACACATGCTGCCACCGCAGGCAACTGGAGGTTTATTCTGCTGGGACCTGTGTCAACTGGACACCTCAGAGTTGTCTCATCCAAGGGGTGAGGGAGTGGAGGCATTTATACACCAACTCCCAACAGTCCTTGGTTTGGAGCTGAACTGGAGGTGAAGAGCCTCAGTGTCTCTGACCTATTGTAGAAACAGCAAGCCCTAGCAGCCAGAAGAAGCTCCCAGGCACAGAGATGCAGGTGCCAGTCATTGAAAGTAAGTTGCACGTGCTGAAATAATGAAAGCCAAAGAAATGTGGCAGCTGAAACTCCTAACTCCAATTTGTGTCTGCGTTTTAATGGATTAGAAATATACTGTGGCCAAGCACAGTGGCTCACACCTGTAAATCCCAACTCTTTGGGAGGCCAAGGTAGGGGAGGATCACTTGAGGCCAGGAGTTCAAGAAATGTATTGTGGCTTACAACAAAACCTATCTCCTTTTGTTGTCCATACAGATGGAGAAAAGGGAAGACCATTTACTCCTCGAATCTACAACTCAGCTCTTTTTCCCTCGAGCTTAGCTCTGATAGGCAGACTCTCAAAAATGTGACCCCTTAAAGAGAGGACGCTTACTACCCATGAAATTACCCAAATAATTCAGGAAAGTATGATCAGACAGGGAGCATGAAAATGACTTCGGTTCCAGTGTTGTTATAAAATATTTTATTCCCAAATTCCTCAAATATGAGTCAGATTATGTGAGTACTTCAAGAAAAATAGACATTTATGTCTTTTCTCACAGCACGCTTCACGGCAATTAAGTCAAATAAACTCTTAAGGGATCTCAGCCCTGTTTTTTGGTTTTGTTTTGTTTTTGTTTTTTGTTATTGTTGGATATTAGAGAAGAAGGTAGAGAATGTCCTCTAACTGTGAAGAGTAGAATGGGACCTGCTGCCTTTTCCATCAGCGATGTCCAGGAGTAAGATGAGTCAACATCTATACTACATCGAATTGCTTAGAAAAAAGGAAGATGTGGCAGTCAAGGAAAAGACTGTGTAGGTACTAGAGTAAAAGTGGAGAAGATGGCCCTGAATAATAAAAGAGTGAGGATTTTGTGTAGGTCTTACAAGCGAATAGCAAGGGAGTGGGTGTACAGGAAGACACGAGACACAGGGGACAGGAAGAGTTACAACACGATGGCAGCGAGAGGGACGTGCCTGTGAGCCTGAGAATGACATGGAGCCTGAGGGTGGAGATGGGGGACGTGGGGAGGTGGCCCTTCACAGATAAATGTGTGCGATTTTGACTGTAGCTTTGACACCCGGGCAGAGGGCTTTTGTGCAGGGGATGCTGAGGATGGACTGCGCAGACCTAGACCCTGGGTCCCGAGGAAACGATGCCTGGGATTTACAGGAAAATAATGGCTGGCCCCGGAATCCCAGGTCTCATTCACCAAAATTCAAACTAATTTAAGTTCTCCATACTCTCAGCCTTAACAGAAAACTTTTCCTTTCAAAGTTTACCATTTGCATGTGTAGCACGTGTGGACTCCCATACTCACAATCTTTCCAAATAGCTGTGAGTGCCCCACTGAGGAAGGCTAAGTGCTCTGAAGGGGTCACAAGTAAGTCTAGGCTATTTCTTTCCCTATACGCTAAGGCCCTTCTGTCTCCGTACAATTTTACTATTTGACATTAAAAAATAATATTTGTCCATGTATATCGTTCCTGTGAAAGTAAGACAGAGCAGTTTCCCAAACAATTACAATTTGCACTCCATGTACAAATCAGAGTATTAAGGGGTCATATTTTTGTTCCTTCCAGCATCCATAAAATCTCAGAAGCATGTCATACCCACCAATGTGTTCTCTCCTGTCTTCATAACTCATCGTCTTATTAATAGGCTGATGCTCTCTGTAGATGCACAGAAAAATGCGGAATGTCAGTCCCCAACACAACTGCAATCTTTTCTTCTGAGTTCCCTCAATTAGGAGCAAAACAAAGGCACACTTTTTCTTTAACTATCTGGTATAGTGAGTTGAGGCTCTGTGGGTATAACTTCAAAATTCTACTCATTTCCGGTCGGGTGCAGTGGCTCACGCCTGTAATCCCAGCACTTTGGGAGGCTGAGGCAGGTGGATCACTTGAGGTCAGGAGTTCGAGACCTGCCTGACCACCATACTGAAACCCGTCTCTACTAAAAAGACAAAAAAAAATTAGCAGGGCATGATGGTGCATGCCTGTAATTCCAGCTACTGGGGAGGCTGAGACAGGAGAATTGCTTAAACCCAGGAGGCAGAGGTTTTAGTGAGCCAGGATCAGGCCACTGTACTCCAGCCTGTGAGACAGAGCAAGACTTCATCTCAAAATAAATAAATAAATAAATAAATAAATAAATAAATAAATAAAAATAAGTAAAGCAAAGAAAAAAAAAATTCTACTCATTTCCCATCCAGGATTAAGTTTTCTAGTGAGAATTCTCTATTTCAGCACCAAAAGCAGCACTGCACTGTGCACATGTGTGTGAGTGTACTGTTGGTTAGTTGTGGAAGAACTTACCATGTCTCCAGAATATTCTATAAAGAGACATCTGCTATTTGCACATGCATGCTATCGGTCCATCTGAAACGCCCTGATAGTCATCATCCTAAAGGGATACTTTCTTTACTCCCCTGGCAACTTACGACTTGGCAAAGGGACTTTGACCTGAAATAACCTGCTTTGGGAACCTCCCAGGTGAGGGAGTGCCTTGGACAGCCAGTTAATTTCAAAGGCCCAATGTGATAGTTAATGTTGTATATCAATGTGGCCAGGCCACAGTACCCAGATATCTGGTCCAACGCATCTGGATGTTGGTGTGAAGTTATTTTTTAGATGATGTGAGCATTTAAATCAGGAAACACTGACAAAGTAGATGATCCTCCAAAATGTGGATGGGCCTCCTCTAATTAGCTAAAGCCTTCCAGTAAAAGACCGATCTCCCCCAAGGAAGAGGGAATTCTGCCAGCAGATGGCCTTATGACTTAAACAGTCATATCCATGGGTTCCCCCCTGGGTCTCCAGCTTGCTAGCCTATCCTGTGAATTTTAGACTTGCCAGCCCTCACAGTAGTATGAACCAATTCTGTAAAATAAATCTCTCTCCTCTCTCTCTCTAAAGAGACTATTGGTTCTGCAGTTCTGAACAATCCAGACTAATACACCCAACCACCCCTACCAAAAAACCTATTTCTTTTAACAACATCCAAGGCCAATAAAGTGTCTTTCACCAATGGCAGCCATGTTTTTCAGCCTTGTGGGTGAACAAAATGCTGAAGGTACCTACGAGGGGAGGAATGTGGTCAGCACAGCTCCTGCTCACATCTTATGTGCTTCGTTTCTTCTGTGCACCAGTTTATTCCAGCCCTTCCTCCCTCACGGCATTCTCTTCGATTGAACATTGTGGTGTATTCACTGACTTTCTGTGAATGTCACCTATTCACTTCACTCTCTAACGCAGGGCTGAACTAGTTGCAGTGGCACAGGGATTAGGAGAGGCCCGAGAAGCAAGTTCGTCTCTAGGTGCTCAGAGAAACATGGTCCTGGGCGTGGCCCTGCAGACAGAAGCTTCCAGCAGCTGCTACCACAGAAGTCCACACGGGGTTTCTTAAGAGCAAGGCCAATCCCAGACATTAGGAAGCGTCATAATAATTGATGACATCGACTGAATGCGGCCTATAGGTCAGCCACTGTTCTGAGGGGTTTACTGACCACGCCTCATTTGGTCTTGCCAGCAGCCTCCCAGACACCTATTTCCTAGGATCTGCACTTTCCACCTGAGGGACGCAAGGCACTCATCAGTGAAGTGACTTCCCCAAATCACATGCTACGACATGGTGAAGCCAGGACTCCTGAGACCCACCTGTCAACCACCAGATCAAGACGTGGTGACGTTTGGAGACCCGGTGGCTAAAAACAGGGCAGTTGTCAGAGAGTGGGACCATGCAGAGTATCTCTGCAAAGGGGATAATGGGATCCTAGTCATACTAGTGGGTAATGGTAATTTCCTGGAGTACCAGGAAAGGGCTCTGTCATGGGGAGTCAGCTATGGGGAGCAAGAGGAGGCTGGACATCACACTAGATTGAAACCCCAGCCCTCATCACCACAAGCGCTGAGACTTGGAGCAACTTCCACAGCCTCTCTCAGTTTCATCTGAATAGTAAGGATAAGAGCCATTTCACATGCTACTGTGAGGATTAAGTGTGACAATAGAATGGTCCCAGGGAAAGTGGGTGCTTGGAATCGTGACAGGAGCAAAATATAATCCTGGTTATCACAGATGTTGCATGAAGTCACAGCCAGACACATGGTGAACTCCACTTTACTGGGCCTCAGAGAATAAGATTGAGTTCTTAGGGCACCTAAGGTCCAGTTGGCCTTACAGTCAGGACAGAATTGGCACTAGGGTGAGGGGAGTGAGGGGACCAGGGTGCACAGTTCAAGGAGGCACCCATGCTCTGGGTGGGGCACATACAGGAGGGGCAGGGGAGAATGAGAGCCTCCTTAAATCCTGCTCCCTGCATATCCAGACTGGGAAGTGGGGCTACACCCACTGTGGGGGTGATGCCTGTAGGGAGGAACAGTCTACAGAGAAAACCAGGGACACTGCACCCAAGGCTGGCCCAAGTGCCAGTGAGTGACTGTCTTGTGATTTTAACTGATCTTGTGGTCCAAACCATCTAGTCATGCCTCAGAGCAGATGTTTTGGCTTAACTGTTTGGGTAGTTATCTGCACACCCTAATAAATCAGCCAATTGTTCAGATTTATGCCACAACATTAACAGGTTAGTTTCACCTAGCAGTTGATCTATTGATATAATAAGGCACTGTATTTTCAAGAGAACATGAGGATATCCTTTGAGATTTGGATTTCTGCATAATACGTGGGCCTACTGGGTAACTTGCTGGCACAAATAAATCTTACACA